AGATATAACAGTTTGGATTTTCGATCGTGACCTTCGTTACGAAGGAGAAGAGATTGGAAATTATATATAATTTACAGGATATCGAAAACGATATATGAAAACGGGCGTAACAGGTTGTACATTAAACAACACGGCGTGAATGATACGATAATAAAGAGAAATGAAAATGCTTGGAGAGCAAGAAAAAGCAAGAGCGAAGAGCATTAAAAAAAAAAAAAATATCCCGCAGGCTAGTGCGTCCTAATGCTCTCTTTCTTTTATTCCATTTGTTTATTCAGTTACGTTTAGGTAAGTACAATTTCTGTGTTTCTTTTTTTCTTTTTTTTTTTTTATGACGAAAAAAACAAAGGTTTTTTTAACGCCAAATTGATAAGTGAAAAAATCGTAGGGAGTTTTTATTACCTAGTAGGTATCGAACAATCACAATTTTGATTTTACCTCGTGGTTTTCTTATTCTAATCATCGATCTGGATCTCGAGATTGTGAGTTCGGGACGAATCGTGCAAATTCGGGTGAGATCGGATAAGATCTCGATATTGTCGTATAAGCTCGGTACGTTCGGATCTATTCGGCAATAATCGGCCACAATCGGTTCGAAACTCGGTCATTAGAGAGCATCTAGCCCATCGCGTCCGATTATTGCCGAATTGTTCCGAAGTGATATCTTTGAAAATTCTGAGCTTGCATGAATATCTCCCATCCGATCTCGCCCGAATATTTCCGATCCGCGTCGAAGTTTTTCTCTCGAATCAAGAGACGATCCCGCATTCTAACGACGCATGTTCGAAGAAAGGGTAGCAAATTTGGAACGATAATTCTCATTCTTTATCGTATTCCACGAGCGTAAAATTTTCTCCCGAGGCGATGAATCGATGGGAGCCCCGGTTTAATCCCTGGGAGAAAGGGTATGAACGGTTTCTCACCTTTTATTACGGCGAGTGAACTTTCTGAAAGTGGTCGCGGAACTACGAATCGTGTTTCCACGTTCGTCTTTAACGAATCTACGACTACGATCAGTCTTAGATTGCAATAACGTTTCATTCTACGACACGAAATCTTTGGGAACGAGTTCGTTACACGCAATTCAACGAATATAATAGGTTTTTCGTGAACGATGTATTGTATATATATGGTTCTTTATTATTTACATTCTTGTTTATTGACGCATCATTCATCAGACACTCGCTCGCTGACATTTGTATGCTAATTATGTATGCACGTGTACGTGTGTATTCTTTTTTGTGTGTATATTCATTTATTTCATTTATTTATTTATTTATTCATTTATTTATATTCGTATATATATATATATATAAGTACATATATATATATATGTACTTGTTTATATTTTTTCCCCGTATGTATGTATGTATATGTATATATATACATATATATATGTATAGTACTCCGTAACGTGATAAAACGTCATTAAAAAAGTCAGTACATCGTTTGTAATGCTTAAAAAACCTTAACTCGCGTCTACATTTAATTTATGTTTCATTTTGACAGTGCATAGTAGGATTGCAAATATCTGTGATTTATATCCTCCTCCTCTTCACATTATCTCGCGTGTAATTGTGCGCGCGTCGATGCGCGTCAATGAAAATTCGCTAAGTCGCTCGCGCGAATGCACGCACACTCGGCGATTTGTCTCGCGCGAGGGAAGACTCGT